TGCAGGCCCTGCCTCCCGGCGCCCCTTCCCCGCCGCCACCTCCTCAGCAGCGGGGAACGTTATTAGGGGTCCTACACAGCCCTTCAACGGGGTTTGGGCTCTGCCAGCAGCAGCCGGGCACCGCAGAGGACAGCGGGGTCAGCCGCCCGCTCTCACGTCCAGAGGGGACGGGACAGAAGCCCACCGCCGCACGCGGTTACGTCTGGCAAAACAAAGTTTGTGTTTCGCAAGCGGGACGCGCCCTGAGAACACGAGAGCCGAGTCACCAGCAGCCCGGCGCTGCTGGCAGGGCCACGCGTTTTCTTTACATGCGGCACCCCAGGCAGGGCCACGCTTCCCGGCGGCGAGACTCCCTGCTGGGAAGGGCCGCCTGCACTCAGACGTGCTCTTTGCACAGGGCACAGACAGAAAACGAGCCCCCGTGGGCTCCCTGTTGCTGGGAGGGTGTCTTCTGGGCATGTTGGCGACTGCCAAAACCCCAACCAGGAGCGAGGTGAGCAACAGGAGGCGGCGGAGGGCAGCCGGGCTGGCAGAGGCACGGTTGTGCAGGGCCCCAGAAATAACCCCCCACCCCTGAAGTACCTCTGGAAGAGCAGCAGCTCAGCTTACCTTATTGTTGCTGTCTTGCAGGGGAAGTTTCATAGATGAAAGAATGAAGGGCTTTTTAATCTCCATTTGAGAGGCTGAAAAAAAGCAGACAGACTGTGAAGCTCGGTGATGCTCTTGAGCTGCCAAGGACAGCGCTGCTGATCCCGAACATCCCCCTTCCCTGACCGTGAGGGCTTTGTCCCTCACCCCCTTCCCGGCTGGCCGGACCACCAGACTGGCTTCCTTCTCGCCTGACCCTGCAGCCAAGGGTGGGCTCGTCTCTTCATCCGGGTCGCAGCAGGGGAACGAGGGGACTCACGGAAAGGGACCCATCGGAGAAAGGAGAAAGCCTGGCCTGGAGACCCTCCACACCTTCCGGCTTCAGGACCCCAACAGGGACCGTGGCCAGCCGGGGGGCAGCCGCCCCGGTACTCACGGGCACTGTTGATGATCTGCCTCATGATCAGGAGTGTCCCCACGCGGGTCCTCTCGTTGCTGCTCTCCAGCTTCGGGAGGAGGAAGGCCAGCACGCGATCAGGGAACGAACAGGCTGCAGGAGCCAAACCAACCATCACGGATGCGCATCGCCCCGGGGACAGCACACAGATTTGGGATGCGGGCACCGCATCCCCTATGTGGGGACGTCCCGCCCCACGTATCCCCACGTGCGACGGGGGGCTGCGTGCCTGCCACGCGCAGCAAGGCTTTGCCTGCTGCATCAAACCGTGTTGGGAAAGCACCGCTCCTCCTCTCCGGGCCAGGCAGCTCCCCGGGGAAGCAGCCTGCTGCCATGCCAGCCCACGAGCCAGGCTAACCGGCCCATCCTCCTCCTCACATCCAGACCCGAGCTTTTCTCCAGCACTTTCAGCACCTTTCCTGCGCTCTCTCGGGAGCTGAAGGAGTTTAAATTATACCTTCCAACAAGTGCTGCCCCCTCTGTCAAAACATTTTGATTGTTAAAAATAAAACCAGTCTATGGATGCTGAAATTAGAGCAACACTCGGGGGCATTCGGGAGGCATGGGCTGCTCCGAGGCCGGGTAGCCTGAAGATTGCTCAGGCAAAGGCAGCTCGGCTGCAGTTTGCCTTCACGAGCGCTAGCAGGAAAGGGACGTCACCCAGCCGTGACTCAGCAGCAGCTTGTCACATGCAGTAGCTTGTCACACCACTGCTCTTTTCCTGGCAATTGCACGCGCTTCTGTCTGTGTCACAGCCGTTTGGCGAGGGGAGCCCAAATCAGGGGAGACAGCCCTGTTACCATGATCTGCTCAGTCTGGCCACAGGGCACCTCACTGCGCTCTGAACGTTTGCAGTAGCCCCAAATAACAACTGTGTTAGCCGTACACGAGACACGGCAACGAGGAGCTCGGATGAGCAGGGTACCCCCGAAGTCAATCGCTGCCTGCTGCCCCGGCCCGCAGGCACGGCATGCTGCAGAACCTGGCCCCAGAGGTCTCAGTGGGCTGGTACGGCCCAAAAGGCCCTGAGGAAACCTTTGAAGCTGAGCCAGGCGCCTTCGGGAAGGTCCCTGGAAGGGGACGATCAGGCCTGAGCCAGCAGGGAGCTCCAGGGGGAGTGGAGCTGGCCCCATACTCTTCCTCAAAGAGCTCCAGCACGAGATGCTCTCCCTGGACGGCCCCTCTTAGGGACATGCAAAGCTACTGCCTTCTGCAAGCCTGAGGCCGTGGGCTAGAGCCAGGACAGCAGCCACCACCCCTCCCTCCCTTCCACCTCCCCACCTGGCTAAGAAACGCCCACGACATCCCCCAAGCGCAGCTGAGACCAGGGGGAACAAACCCCTCCGTTCACCACGCAGAACTCCGTGGAGAGGACCAGAAAACACTGGGAAGAACACCAGCCACGGCGCAGCGCACCCACCACCTCTCCAAGGGGTTTGACCTGCTTTGGGACAGCCGCGCCACATCGTCCCTTACCCAGGACGGTGAAGCACCGAAGAACCTCCGTGTGATTTTTAACAGTCAGGGGGACAGACGGATCTGCAGGAGCACAAATCTGTTGGAGAAACAGCTGCGGTCAGGGACGTTATCCGGGACGGGCGCCGGCAGGCTGCAGCCCCAGCCCGGGAGCAGCAGGTTGCTTGGCACAGGCATGGTGCCGAGATTCGGGACAAAGCCCTGGGCTGGTGGCAGTGGCAGCACCCCACGACACGGGCGCCCAGAGCGGTGCTTGCTGGCCGAGCAGAGCTCTGCCTGTGCTCACAGCACGTTAAGTCATCGCAGGGAGCCCACTTGGGAACAAGGTGGCCACTCAGGAGCCGTGGGCTCCTCCGTCGTTTAAACGTGCCCCATCACCCAGCCAGGACTGCTGGCCACCTCCTCCGGAATCTCTTCAAAACGCGTCAGCCCTTCCAGGTGCTATTAAAACAATTCAGGCTCTTACTTCAATTTACGTCGCAGCAAGGACAACGTGCATCTGCTTACTCTGGTCCGCCAACAAGATACTTTGGTCTGCAACCGAGCCAGAGCCAGCCACATCCCGCAGCCCCAGAGCCGCCCCTCCGCAGCCGCGAGCAGCTTCTGCCTGTCTGAGCCCATCAGCAAGAAGCAGTTCCTACAAATGGCACCTTTATTGTGCGGGGTTGTTATGCGTCACTTCGCTAAAGTGCGCAGTTTAAAGGACAGCCTCTCTGCTGGACGCTTCCATGACTCAGAGTCAACTAAGTATTAAAAAAAAAAAAGTGTTCAGACCTGTTTTCAGCCCCAGGAGCATGATTTTAAGAATTTAGCAATACAACAGACCTTGCACCCCTGCAGCTGAAGAGCAGCTGAGGAGGAGTCTGGGCTCGGCAGCCGGAGAAGGGCTCCTGCACGGTCACTGCTCCGTGGCGAGTCAATGCCCTCGCTTATTCTCAAAGAGCAAACTAAAAGGTCCATTGATTTCGAGGCGTTTGTTTTCAATCTGCTGCATAACAGTGCAGCCAGAGCTGCTCTCGCTTCAGACAACTTGACTGTGCATGTGACCCCTCAATATATCAAGTACCAGAGCCCGAGAGCTGGCGACAGCACTGGTGAGCCGCGAAGCCGAGAGCCTCAGAGAGGCACAACCAGGGCACAGAAAAGCCGAGCAGGCTGCACGCCCCGACCTCAGGCTGATCCAGGGAAGCCTCCAGCCCTGCAGACCACGCCAGGCTCCAGCATCACACCTCACACAAGCCCACCTTCCCCCCAGCACTCTCCTGAGGGCGGCTGCTCCCTGCTCAGCCCTTACCTGGGGGTGCAGGGTGCCCAGGAGAGAGTCCAGCTGCACATCGAGGCTGCGGGGCTGCGCCTGCCGATGTTGACAGAAGCTTCCAGGATCTGGCAGAGGCTCTGCTCGGGAAGAGACCGGATTGCAGTTAGCATCGGGAAAAGACTCGGACTCCAGAGCAGGACAGAGGATCGGGACCCCCGTGCTACGCCAGCCCCAGGGGAGGGACTGCAGGCAAGAGCAGGGATCATGAACACACTACAGCGGCAGCGAGCGGCATAACCCATCTTCCACGGAAGGACACAGCTCGGGCGTTCCCGAGCGCTGCCTCTTCCCCTGATGCTGTGGCAGGGGGGCACCAGAGAGGGCAGAGCGGCACCCCCGGCC